TCTGGGTATTATCAGACAAACTGCCAAATACAGGCAAACTTGAAACTTCTGAAGAGAGTTCAGCACAAAGCATAAGTTTTCCACTTACAAGAAAATCACTGATATCACTGATGAAGAACAGCATAAACAAAGTGGGCCACCATCATACATATTGCCTAGAACGATGAAAATAACCTGATTTTAAGGAAGATGAAATGACAATAAGCATCAGTATGGCAGCTCCAAAAAACTGGGAGCTTTTATGTGGAGTTTGACAAATGAATTGCTGAAAACTACCTTCAGCAGTTGCCTAAGCAGTTCAAACTAACATCAGGAAAGGTTCTATCCTTCCTAATAGGGGACCTCAAGCATGGTAAAGCCACCGAAGAGCAAAAGTGTGAAAGGAATGTGAAATGAAGATGAGCATGCACTTCAAGGATGACACAATGATAATGGAGAGACATACACATATTCCATACTGCCTTAACCAAAGATTTGTGACATACCATAACTTCCTGTTCATGTGAGTTGTTTGGACATGACCAAATCACTTCCTTCCCACACTCACAGGCAGATAGATCTTTTCTCTAGGTACTGAGTGCTCAGCAAACAGTAGCATTTGCCTGCATCACCTGCTGAGGTGGTGAAGCAGGTTGCCCAGAGAGGATGCCCTGTCTCTAGAGGTGTTTAAGGCCAGGTTGGATGGGGCCCTGGACAATGTGATCTAGTACACAATCTAGCAGTTGCCAACCCTACCTGTGGCAAGGGCTTAGAACTTGGTGATCCTTGAGGTCCCTTCCCACCCAAGCCATTCTATACTGTCTCATCACATGATCAGTAAAAAAAACAGGCTACAGTACATTTATGACATACAAATAGATTTCTTCAGCACTTTCCTAACATTGCATACATAACAATTTATACCTCTCAAAATTCCAAATGATACAAACCAATTCATGAAAGTAGTTGTACCTTTTAGATGTTACAATCTGACGGATGTTTTGACTGGCTTCAGGCTGGGAATAGAAGAATAGAAGAAGAATAGAATCTATCCCAGGCACATGGTTGGATTTCCAAAGGAGACATCCTGATCCTCATACCAGAATAAGTAGCCTGGGAGGGGGGGGGGGGGGAAGAAAGAAAGAAAGAAAGAGATTATGCATTTAAAGAAAAAAAGTTTACAATCAGGGCTCACTTATAGACTGCTGTTTTGTCTCTAGAATTGAAGAAGTAGGCATGTATGCAATCACAAACGTATGTAAACATACAGTCAGCAGAGATAACTCAGCCTCAGGGGACAAGCAGTCCCCAGTGTCTGGAGGAATTAAAAAATAATTCTCCTAGGAGAAGAATTTGCTTAAGTTTCCTCTGTTATCACAGTTTATCTTTAACATCCCCACGTGGAACAAAAGCCCTTATCTTCTCTTTCAGGAAGATATTGACCTAGGTGGTTCAGAAAGTGCAGGAAAATAGTTTTCTAAGGTACACTTGACAATGGGTTGTAAACCTAGGTGCTAAGTGGATTCAGCAAGCTTCTGGTTAGAACAGTGTTATAGTAAATACCAAGTTAATTCAGATAAACACCCACCAGTAGTTTGCTGCAAACTAGGTGCAAACATACATCCTTGCTACTGCTTCAATCTAGCCTGACTGAACGATTAGTACCACAAAGGATACCATTAGAATTTCCAAAAAAAAAAAAAAAAAAAAGTACTACATATTGGAAGAAGTTAGCTGGAAAAGTCACATACGGATTTCATTTTTCCACTAGATAATATCTTGCTTTATAACTATTTAGGTTTTATTATATAGCGTTTTATAAACACATTGGGTTTTTCTGTTGTTATTTGTTTTTGAATGGAGTAGACGGCTGGCGATTACTGCTCTGTACCAACAGCTTAAGAAAAGAAACAAGGGAGCACGTAAAAACTTTTAAGAATGGCGGATGTTTAACACTGAGTATTTCAAGAACTAATTATCTATGGTTCTGAATGCAGAGTTAAAAAGGCCATTAAAAGAAACTGGAAAGGTCCCAGCGATTTGGAGAAGCGAAGCAGCCCCGGCCGCTCCATGTGACCATAGCGCCCCCTGCCGGAGGTGAAAGCACAGTACCTCCCGCACAGCATCTTCGGAAAAAGTATTAAAAACCACACAGAACTACCAAAAAAAAACAAACAAAAAAAAAAAAACAAAAAAAACCAAACAAACAAAAAAAAACTAGAACAAAAAAATCCAAGGATAATATTAAAAAAGCTTATTAATGAGGACAGGGTGTAATAAACTCGAACTACGTTTCTTTAAGCTGTACTAAAATTTTAGTTAAAGAAAGTTAACAAGAAAGTAAGAAGAATAAATACACGTAAGAAAAAAGCAGAGCATAACATTCTTGTCTCTACAAGTATTGATCAAAAACACTGAAGCATGATTTTTTAGCTTTCTTTTATTATCTCTAAAAAACACACACAAAGTTTTAAGTCATTGTTTAGTCATTTGGTTTTATGCCAGCAGTATTAAATGCTTTCATTAGCACTAGGGACTCATGTGTCTCTTGATAGTTATAAATAATGTTTGTGCAGAAACATTCTCGAGTACTGAGCTGAATCACACAGGACCACCTATCCATATCAGCTAGTAAAAAAAAGTTCTCTAGCAAAAGTACTCTAGCCCATTTCACGTGGGCACAACTAGAAAAGGATGTAGAATTAAACATAGCCTGATAACATAATGGAAAGTGCAGCAATAACAGCAGAGTAGCAAGATCCTAGGCCACAGCAGGTAAAAATTTGCTCAAATACAACAGCTATAGGAATAGAAGTAAAGGAGAAAAAGCTGCTTACCTTCAGAAGGCCTCAGGTACACAAAGATCACAGGGAGAGACTTTGTATCCACTGCCAACCCTTAAATGAGGTCTGGGAAGGGGTGGATCCTGGCTCCATCGCTTCCAGTCACCCAGGTGCACTGCATGCACCTGAGCTCCCTTGAGTTGGTCCTGCCTTCCCACCAGGTGCTCAATCACTGTTTCAAGCCCTGACTTAGCAATTCTGGTACAATCCTACAGATTTTTGTGCCCAGCCTTCTGCGTTTCTCTGCAGAAACTTACTACTTCTGCTTTCTCACTGGCCTTGTACAGCTTAATGGTATTATGTTTACACCGTGCAAGAAAGTGATTTTCCCATCATGTGCACAGTTACAATGGAAAGTCTACTCACGTAGAAACTGAAATGACTGATGCTAACAAAGTATTGGTAAACTGCCACCTGGACTGCAATTCATCTGACTATGTATTCATGTATTTACTCCATATAAACACCCATACTCAGGCTATTTACATTTTCCTGAAAACATTTAAGGCCAGTGAGAACTCAACCACAGAGGACAGATGCCTTATTCTCACCTTAACACTCAGCAGGATTTTCAGGAGTTAGATGTGATAATCCTTATGGGTTCCCTCCAACTCAGGATATTCCATGATTCTAGAAGTGCAGCCTTGCAGACAGAAGCAGTCAGATCATCCATTCTTTAGTCAGGCTGCACAATAGGGCAGACACGAGACAGCATGCTGAGCAAACACCCATATTCAAATCTCTTGTCCTTCACTCTTGTTCCTTCTTAATAACTGTCACTCTACCTCTTGCAAAAAGACCTCTAAAACTATCAATGTTCTTGATGTATAAAATGTATATGCAGCACAAAATCAAACAGAAATTCCCTGCTTAAAGTAAAAATAATAATAATAAAAAAAAAAAAGTGATAGCACTTGAAGCAGGAAACAACTTTCATCTTAAGACTACAAAGGACATTGTACATAGCATCTCTTATTTCTAGCTTTAGAAACAGCTTCAGTTCATGAAAGACCCCAGGAAAGTCAGGTGGACTACAGACCGCATGCATTTCAACCTAGCCATATTCCTGGAAGGGTGAGAAAGTCTCAGTCATTCAGACCACAAAAGGAGTGGACTAGGAGAGAAGAGAGAGATGAGAAAGGAGACCATCTAAAGTGTGCACTTCACAGGGAATAAACTTGAACTACAGCTGAGAGCACTGACAGAAATTTCGCTCAATAACATCCTTGAGTACTTCAGAAATATCCCACGTGTGGGGGAACTGTTAGGTCATGGCTTGAACTGGTGACAGATCACCTAGTGAAGGGGTGTGGTTGGCCTAGGGAGCACAGGAAAATTGTTTGCACCTGTGCTCCTCACATGACTAAAAGGGGTGTACTCAGGATGGAGCCACCCTGGGCTCATATAAGGGCTGGCTACAACCAGAAGAGCACCTTCTGGACCTGGGCTCATTCCTGTGGAGGAGTGCTGTATAGCTAAGTGATCTCCTTTATGATTTAGGTGAGTGCTGCTCTTCTTTCTGTATGTGTCTGTGGGCCTGCATGCAAATGCTTTATCTGGCATTGCTAAAAATCTGTCGGAAGTAATTCTGCTTCTTTGTGAGAAAATGCTGCTGGTATAGCAGTGCAGTCAGGTATATCTTGTGCACTTATGCCTATGAGGTAGCTGATACTTCTAACAGTTAGACCTGGTGACTTTCAAGATAAGGCTGAGTAAGGCTCTGGGCAACCTGATCTAGCTGTGGTGTCCCTATTCATTGCAGGGGGTTTGGGCTACATGGCCTTCAGAGGTCCCTTCCACTTCAAAGGATTCTATGATTCTAAATGGTTAACAGCAAACACACTTCAGAACCTAGTGAACTTTTAAGATAAGCATTATAACAAGAAAAGGCATGAAAGAAATGAAGTCAGTAACAAGTAATGATATTTTAAAGTTAAACTTCAAAAATCTGTATTCTACTTTAAGTTAAAGATTTCATCTATCCTTTTGTCTATGTATATGTCTGCAAGACCCAAGGACTCCAAAAAGGTTTATTTCTGTTGCAAGGTTACAAATACATCTTTTAAGCCTTTGGCAAATTGTTACTTGTTCTTTCTGTGTTACCATGCAAGCAGTTCAGTGAAATGACTAGAAAACATGCTGCTATCATACACGTGGGTTGCGACTTAAAGTTTCTCCCTACTTCCATTAGCTCCCCTCACTTTTTAATCATGGGGGTTTATGGGCGCTCTAATGAAAGGCCTCATCCCAAGGCTCCACTAGGAGGAAATGCTGACCCTCCCACAAGAGTCCGTCTGCTCTCCAAGCGCCGCGCAGCCCCTCGATGTTCCCATGCTGCGCCCTCCAGAGGCCGCTTCCCCCCGCGCATGCGCGGAGCCGCCCGCAGCACGGCGACGTCCGCTCCTCGCCAGGTGCTTCCGGATCGCGTCCGCGAGGAGGGGCGGCGGCTCGGCGGCTGCTTTCCGCTCGGCGGTGCTGGGGGTCTGCCGGGGGTGAGCGGTTCGGCGGTGGGGTGGGCCCGGGGCGTGGCGGTACCCGCAGCCCCCACGGGGAGGGGGAGGCCGCGGGGCCCGCGCCGGGTCTGCGGGGTGGGGCGGTCCGCCGTTGGCTTCTTTCCTGTCTCCAAGTGCGGTCACTCCAGCCTGGAGAAAGCACCGTCAGCCGTCCGTCCTCGGGTCGCTCGTCGGTCCCTTAGCATCGCGGTGCCTTCTGGGTACGCACGGGGATGTAGTGCGGTCTGGCTGAAGCGCCTCCGCCTCGCCGGCAGCTCGTTAGCTTTCTCTGCCAAGCAGAGCCATGGCAAACTGTTTTGTTTGAATGCGGGAGGCTGCCACGTGCTTTAGGTATTCTGTTAGCGTAGCTGTACTCAAAGCCTCTAAAGAATTAATTACTTCAGTTTGTTTAATGCTGGGTCGTAAAGAAAAATGACCTCACTTATGTATCTCTGTGACATGTTGAGATTTTAGGTCTGCAACACGTGTATTTCTTTTCTTAAGCTAATAGCCTTCCTGAAGTATTCTTATGGAGTTAGAACAGAAGCAAAAGGAACTTTTGTTTATTTCCCATTTTTCTCTCTGAATATGGGAGTGTGGGGTTATTCTGGGGCTTGGTTTTGAAATTTTTTTGACACTCAGCTGGCTGCAGGAAACAAGGTCTAATCTTAAGTGTTTACTCTACTTGAAGGACAAAGCAAACATACTTCTCATTTCTAATAATTGCTAATTGGGAAGACTGTTCAAGATAACTCATTTCCATTTTGTCTGAGCTTTATGGATTTCATATTAAATTAATAACTAAATTAAAACAAGAGTTTAGTAAGTACTTTAACAGGAATGTATCACTTGGATTCTGTTTGTCTGACTTGTTTCTTGATTGTCTGACAGTCATTTGAAATAGAACTGCAAAACCGCAGCATGTTGATGCAATGAAAACAACTCCTATGCTGATTAAGTATATTACTAAATAATAAAAGGTGAACTTTACTGCTTTGAGTTTTACAGCTATTGATGTGATACTTATGTTAAAAAAAATTGCTTTCTTCAGGTTTATTTTATTGTACAAGCTCTTTGCTGCCATAATGAGGCTTGTCATTCTTGAAGACTATGATCAGGCAAGTGAATGGGCAGCCAAATACATCTGCAATCGTATTATCCAATTCAAGCCCACTCAAGGAAGGTACTTCACACTTGGCCTACCAACAGGCAAGTTTTATTCAGTCTAGTAAGTGACTAAACCTAAAACTGTGTTTACATCATTGCTAACAAATGCCATATTTAGAATACCAGAAGTATATTCAGCAAATACAGTAATGTTTGAATGTATTTCTCTTGTAGCATGAAGTTGTTACTCTGTAAAGTGCTTTGAAAAGATTTGAGGAACTGGAAAGTAGATAGGAAATAACAAATTCCTTTTAAATATACTGAAAAGCATTTTAGTAACATCTGCCTATAAAGAGATTTAAATACACTGAAAGTATGTGGATATATAGTACAGTAGGAAAACTTTGTTTAACAGGGAGTACACCTTTGGGATGCTACAAAAAGCTTATAGAGTATCACAAGAATGGAGATCTCTCTTTCAAATATGTGAAGACTTTCAACATGGATGAATATGTAGGTAAGCTTTAGTGTTTTTTTTTTTTGAGAATACAGTATACTTATTTTTTTCCCCTTATTAACTGTTAAACATTTTAACAAAGCACAAGATTAGTGTGAAATTTTCTAACTTCTGTTAGACTCATGTATCTGGAAATGTCTTAAGCATTTATCTCTATTCAGCCATTAGAATGCAAGTAATTAGAGTGAATCCTTGGCTAAATTAAGTGCTTGAAAATTGTTACATAGCATTTTGACTACATTTGTTAAAGACTTTGTATATATTTGTAGTGATATTTTGTATCTCTAAGAGTATATAGTGAATGTAAACATGTATGCCAACAGAAGTGTTATCAGTATAAATGTGAGTACTGCTTTGTCTGACTTTATGCCACTCAAGAAAGGTTTGTCTTAAATTTAAAGCTGAGTACATCTTGTAATATGTTAATTTGACTTTTAAACAATTTCAGGACTTCCCAGAAATCATCCAGAGAGTTATCATTCATATATGTGGAATAACTTCTTTAAACATATTGACATAGATCCAAATAATGCTCATATCCTTGATGGGAACGCTCCAGACTTACAGGTGGAATGTGATGCATTTGAAAAGAAAATTGAAGAAGCAGGAGGGATTGATCTGTTTGTTGGAGGTATGAGAAAATGCTCTATAGTTAAGATTGAAATAAATATAATGACTCTTTAGTTGTGATTTTCATAACATAGTTAAAATCACTTTTTTCTACTATAGTCTAAGAAAGTTCTGTGACTAACAAAGAATTGGTACAAATACCAGAACAGAATGCTTGGTGTCCAAGTTTCTAATGATGTAGTTTAAGTTTTGAATGCTTTTTTTTTTTGTTTGCTTGTTGAAAATGGGGAACCAAGACAAAAGAATGAATCATAAAACTTTTTTATTCTTTCACAATGTTTGAGGATATTTGTTGACTCGCAGGTCTGGAATGATTTGCTTTCTTTAACTTTGAAAAGGCATTGGTCCAGATGGCCACATTGCATTCAATGAACCCGGATCGAGTTTGTCTTCAAGAACAAGATTAAAGACTTTAGCAATGGACACCATTTTGGCAAATGCTAAATACTTTGATGGAGACTTATCAAAAGTACCAACTATGGCGCTAACGGTTGGTGTGGGTACAGTGATGGATGCTAGAGAAGTAAGAACTTATTTAGTTCTAGTTGCATGTATCTGTTTTCAAGACTAGTTTGTGGTGTTATGGGAATTGAAGGTAAAAAGACTTCTGTTTTGCAGGTGATGATTCTTATAACAGGTGCACATAAAGCTTTTGCATTATACAAAGCTATTGAAGAAGGTGTCAATCATATGTGGACAGTTTCTGCTTTCCAGCAGCACCCTCGTACTATCTTTGTGTGTGATGAAGATGCTACTTTAGAACTAAGAGTTAAAACTGTGAAGTACTTTAAAGGTGAGCACTGAATCAGAAGTTACTTCTATTTAAAAATAACAGAACTATATGAAGTCTTCTGGCACATCACATAGGTAACATATATAACATATTCAAGATATGAAATGTTAACTTTCCCACTATAGTGGGGAAAGTGCTGGGAGATGTAACTTGTGTTCCTTAAATATGAAAGTACAGTGGCATTTGATAAACACTTGACAAATCTCTTTTGAATAAAGTATTTTCTCTACTTTCCATTTGAAATGATAGTATATAAACTTCATCTGTATATAAAATATAAACAATTTGGTGGTCCAGAATGAGTTTCAAGTATACTGGAAGGTTTCAATTATAACAAATTTTATTTTAATCCTGGTATATTTCATGCTGATTTTTATCTTATACTATACTGTCAGTAAGCTTCAACTATGTGAGGCAGACTCTGAAGTGAATGGAGGACGTTCTTCATATAGTGCAATGGCAATCTGTTTAGACTTCAATGCATTGCACGAACTATGCTTTTCATATTTGTAGTAGGGATATTGAGGCAAACTTTGAGTCTGGATTTCTGATAGTAACTCCGTGTTCCTGGATGTTAATTATATTTAACTAAGACTGTAGAAGCTCAGCAAAATAGTTTTCTCCCAGCTGCATTAGCACAGCACATGTGGTTGTATATGTTAGCCACCTTTCTTACTTTCTTACTGCGTGGATTTTTGTAGTAGTTAAGGCATGTGGTAGCAAGGCTGTCATTAGTGATATAATGCTCTAAAAATTGTCTGTAGGTAATAGTAAAATCTGGTGTTAATGTGACTTCATACTGATACCATTTATAATTAATTCTCACTTTAGATTTTTCAGTATGTTCTTTAATACGTACTGGGGAGAGGGAGCAGTCTTCACACATCACACTGCTAGATAGTACTTAGTATTGTCAAAGATAAACCTCTTAAACTGCTTGGATGGGTTCTAGACACTATCCTGTATCCAAATAAACAAAAGCTCTGCTTGGGGAATATACAAACTACTATGATAAAATTATTAGGTGTGAATGACACTGATACAGAACATATCCCCATAGAAAACTAAGGGCTACAGTTGGCACTATTGTTACCTATTTATTACCCTATAATGCATACAAAGCAATAGAATTCTTAGATAGTTTTGCCTGGTGTAATTTTCCCTATTCATGAGTCAGTGAAGTTTACTTGGTGGTTTTTCTTTTTTAGATGGAAAAATCAGTATTAGTAAAACCTGGGATTATTTCTGAATTTTAATCTCCAGGTGGATTACTTCCTTCTTAGGAAGCTGGATGGTTCTTGATGACTGCTAATTCTGGTAGTAGCTAGTTACTACAGCTTTTTACCATTTAAGGAAAATCTCAAGGTACCACATGAAACTTCAAGCAGTTTTTGATAACAAATCATCACTCTATCTGAAAGTTAGAATAACTTCCCCCCCCCCCCCTTTTTTCCCCTAACTTTCTGAAACAAATAAGAGAAATGATCCTTTAAGTGTTCTTTTTGCAAAATGGGAGGAAGGTCACCTTTCCCTTTCATTCCTTTATCACAGAAGGAGGCAGAATATCTTTGAATTTACTAGTCTCCAGGAAAGTTAACTGGGAGTTTTGTACTTCTGCATGCTCTTGTTAAAACACTTATTTAACCTGATTTGAGTTGAATAGGCTGGAAGATTTTTTTGTGAAATAATTGCTTTTGCATCTATCTAGTAAGAGACTTTACATATCATCATTTAAATAAGCTTTGTTTCTAACTGTGCTTCCAAAACCACTAAAAGGATTTAATTATAACTTTTTCCATATGGCAGTAGGAATATTTTATAAGCATTTTCACGCCTCCAGGAAGTAAGTGGGTAATTCTCCTTTTCATTTCCTGTTTTTCTTTTTTTAAAACAGAACAGAAAAACAGGAAACTGAATGCTTAAACTTCAGGACATGGTGTAGCTGTTTCTCTTCAAATAAAAATGCCTTTTGTATCAAATCTACATTTGGTGTCTTCTCGCTTACCACCAAACTCATGAGAAACGTTACTGACTTGATCTTTCCAATATACGTGATCAATAATTACCCTTTATAAGATCTAAGAAACTTTTCCTTTGTGCTTTAGTCATGTTGATTTCATGAGATTTTCTTCTTGTGTTTTTTTTAATTATTTATTTACAAAGGTCTGCAGTTAAGTCATTACCTCCAAAAACAAAAATGAGCTGGATTCTTCAGTCTGTTTTGGCTTTCTAGTATGGCTATATGGTCCACCTAGTGGAGAAAAGAATAGTAAATTTGTAAAATACATCAGAAATGAAAATAAAAATAGACTTAAAGATTCAGACTTTAAGGTTAGTTTGCTGCAGGGATGCAATGTTTGCTGCCAGATATGTAATGCAGCAAGGGTATTTATATTCTTTGCTGCAGATAACTATTGAAGTGTGCACTTTCACATCTTTTATGGCTTTTAAGAATCTCTGCTTCTAATGTTGCCTATTTCTGAAATTTGTAGTAGTTGAAGCAAATCTTCTGTATGGTTCTAAACTAGGCTCTTTGCAGATTGAGAATGTTGACCAGATACTGTTACCAGTCTGTAAGGTTAAAATATACCAGTGAGTGGATGCCATACATTGGTAACACTTTGTAGGTAACACTTTTACTAAATTGTAACAAAGTAAACAATATGACTTTTTAAATAGATCTTCCCAGCACTTTCCAAAATTTTCCACTGGGGAATGGGGGGAGGTTCTATATATTCATTAACAATTCTGTATATTCATTAACAGTCTCTGTGCTGCTTGGTTTTGCTTGTCTAGGACCTGAAGGACACTTGGTTACAAAGATACTACAGTGCTAGAACATTGTAACTCAAGCTGTAAAATTATTAGTATGTGTAAATCTGATTGATACAAATTCTTGTATGTGTTGCTGTTAAGTATTTAATAAAGAGAGATGTGTATCTCTCATCAGGTGTTTAATTTATATGAAAGTATTCCAGATCTCTTAAACTGGTCTGTTGTCATTGCTGTCTCATTTGTTTGGTTTATATGAAGATGGCAATAATATTAAAGTGATACAGGAAAAAAATACATAACTAGCATATATATAGTCCTAATTTTGATTTTAAACTACTCTGAATAGCCATCCTTTATCTTCTCAGTGAACTATTTAAAATGTATACTTTGAAGTTAGCTCCAATTGTATAGATAGAAGGACATGTTGGAAAAAGTATATTAAAAATGATGTAAAGCTGGCCTTGTTGCTTTCCCCTCAAGGTTTAATGCATGTGCATAATAAACTCGTGGACCCCCTGTACAGTATGAAAGAAAACTGAAAGAAGAATTGAAGAGGAACTGCATGTGGGTCAACAGCAACAGTTTTAGGTAGCAGATGAATTTACTGCTATGCAATATACTGAAAACTGTTTAAAATGGGAAATCCTAGGTACTGTATTTTTTTAAAAGGTCCAATATATGTACCTTCACATTCCATCTCTATTTGGTGTTGTGCATTTTGCTTTGATATTTATAACTCTGGCTGTTACAGTAACTAAATGGAACAGAACAAACCTGTGGGAGAATGCATGTTGGGGTGGAGGGGGGTGGGACAGAGCACTTATTTTAGCACAGCAATGCATTGCATCTGCCTGTTAGAGGAAGTGATGGATTATTTCCAAAAATCTGTAATTGTGGCCTCCATTAGTGCAACTACACTTTGCATTTGTATTCCTAGGCAGAATGGTTTTGGCCTTTGTTAAATACTATGGACTTGTAATAGCTGTGCAATTTCTACTATGAAATGTTCTGTTTACATAATGTACACTGAGCTTTTGCACTTGATTGCCTTAAATTTATCTTATACAAACAATTTTTGGGCATCTTGAGTCCTGCTGTACAATTCAGGCAAATAAAAATACAAAAAACAGTGCCTAAAAATGCACTCTTTTCTTAAAGTGTTATAACTTACTCTGGTTACTTACATTAAATGTTTGCCATAGCACTTTTTCCTCTCATGTATTTCAAATTACTTTAGGGTTTTTATATTTCTAGTAATTGTGCTTTATATAGAAAGAAAAATCTAAGTGTTCCTTTCTGCTTTCTGTATATACCTGTTTAATTGTATTGGATGGTGTCATTAAATGCCTAGAATGAGGTTAACTTATAGGAACATGAAGTCCACAAATTCAAATGATAGTGTATTAAAGTCTGTTAACCACTCTGTAATAATTACCTCTTACTGTATTGCTATAAATATTGAGCTGTCACAAGGAATGTTATTTCCCACTTGGAATAAGTAAAACTTAAATCTAAATCTATCTTTTCCAACTTGTTTTGTTTCTAATGTAAAGGGGAGAGATTAAGTATTTTGTCATCTTCATATAGGGAAGAGACTAATAATCAACTGTGCTTTTTATTATCTTTGTGATCCACTGACAGCCTAACTTGAAGAATTAATTTTTCATTTAAACATTAACTTGTTTTGTTGCATAGTCTTGTGCTTTAAAAAAAGTGAACTATGCTGTGCTTATGGAAGAGAAGAATTCTTATTAGTTTATAACAGACCCTAAACTATGTACTTGCTGCCTTAAATGATAAAAACAAGTTTTGCCACTATTATAAAGTTAACTGAAATATTTGTTTAAAGTAGGTATAGACTGAACACAACACAAAGTACAAAGTTATCTGTTGGACCAGACTGCTAGTTGAATTCCTGATTTTGGTATGATAACTACTTGTGTAGACATGCAAAACCTAGATACTGTTTGCATGTCAATATAAACTGAACAGACCACTGTGAAAGACTTGAATCAATCCTCCTTGCTGAGAAATGTGTAATTTGTTTTTCCTGTTGTAAGTTCCCACCATCATTATTTCCTGATGAGAACCTTTAGCAAGTAAAACAGAGTAGCTTAATATTTTTGTGACTTAAAAAAACTAATAGTTTTAAAGCATGGCTAGACAAACTACTTTAATAAACTTTTTGACACAGTTGCTGTTCTTCTGCTCTTAACACATTCAAGCTTTTCTATCTAGCTTATGTGACGTTACAATAAAAGCTTTTAGATTCAGAAAATTCAAATAAAATAATTTTATTTTCATTATAATGTACAAATGTATAATTTAAATACAAAATCCTTTCAATTAATATTCCCACTTAAAATGATATAAATTAAATCAGATGTTCCCTCTCACAGTGATAAATTATACATTAACTCAAGTATGCTTACTGTCTCTAAGAAGTTAAGACAATCTGCTGCATATCATTAACTTATTTCTCAGGCTGTCTCTTTAAAACACGTATGAAGGCATCTCTTGGTACTTCCACATTGCCAATTTTTCTCATCAGCCTCTTCCCTTCTGCCTGCCTTTTTAAAAGCTTCATTCTTCTTGTAATATCTCCACCGTACTATGAAAAGGAAAAATATTTTAAGCTACAGTGCTTAATAAACACAGGCTTAAAACTAATCAGAAAGGCTAGTTACATTAGGATAATGGTTAAAAGTATAAAGTGATATTTTTCTAAGGGAGCAGTAGTTAAAAAATGAGAGCAAGTGAGCACTTAAATTTATATATTTTATACACTAAATATTCTTACATAAGCCTGGATGACATTAGGATAACAGGATAGAACTGTAGTATACTATGGGCTATTCAAATCCTTGTGGAACAACAGCAGGATGTCAGCTCTGATATACTGTAGCATTTTGGCTACCACTAGATGATTACATCTAAATTCATCAACCCTTACATTGTGTGATGGGATACCATTCAACCTAGGTTCCAATTGGAAGAATCTTAATAGCTGTGAGAGAAGGATACTTGTTTAATCTCTTCAATCTGTTAGTTTCAGCTAAGATGAGATACTTTGTTTTTCCTATAGCATTATTCAGCCTTGTTGATTTTCAACTATTTGATGTTTAAAGCCTCCTCTTGATCTCTTACTGAAAACTAAAGTGAAAATCTAATTGTAATCAGTCTATAAAGAAGTGCTTTACTATACTTAAATCATCTAAGAAAACTAGGAAATTCATCGAGTTACATAAGTGCACACACACATTCTTGTTTGTTCTACAAATATAAGATCCTGAGTAGACAGGCATGAACACAGATACACTGAGTATACACACAGAAGTCATTACTGTTTCTGATCTACTGCAAGCACCAAGTGAAGGTTACACAAGCTGAATTTAAAAGTAAAAGTTTAAGAGTGTCTGTTAACATTCCACTGACATTTTGAAGCACAAGCAAAACATGTCTTCATGCAGTTTCTAAGGAAAGATAGGTCCATCACAGTTGCAAGACACTTAGGTTTATATGCACTGGAATAAAAAAAATACTTACACATTTTGCCACAACATTTTTCCTGTAAGCTTTCAATCTGTAAAAAAGAATACCATACATATTAACACAGTGGAGCAACTCCAGTACTGAAGCTAAACAGCAAGTTGTCAAAATGCTGAGCATTGTTTTTCTGCTACATTTTTAAAAAGCAACAGAATTATGACATTTTCTTAGGTAGACAGAAGATAATGCTTTAAACATATTAAAAAACATTATAAAGATGTTGATTTACTTTTCTTAATTTGAGAAATATGTCTTAAGGCACATAATAGACAATATTGTAGTTTTTACATTTTATCTTCCTGTAACGCTCTACAGCATTCATGCTTCATATGTATTTTTACACCCCACATGCAAACAAATTCCTATACAATCTACCTGTGCTTGGATACCCACTTCTGATTATCACAATTTAAATGGAATTTAAAACAGCAACAGCCAAAACACGACATGAAATAAAACAACCAAGGAAAAAGTTTGCTTTAAAAGAAGTGTGTGTGCTGAAAAGAAATAGCTGTACTCGCTCAGCTTGCACATTTCCTTTGCAGTACCACAGTTCAAGTGGTTTTTATGGTTGTTTTTTTTTTTTGTTTTGGTTTGTTTTTTTTGTGGGGTTTTGTGATGGATTTTTTTTTTTTTTAATGACTGCCAAAGAAAGCTACTTCACACCCAGGAAATCATATTCAACAATAAAAAACTTTTTCAGTACCAAGACAATGTACATATCGGTGTGACAAGTTATACACTGCCCAATAAGTGTAATGCTGACCACAGGTAATTTAAAATAATGTAAAATTAATTGAAAATAATCTTTTTAAGTCCTTATTCACGGTCACAGCTTGAAAGCATGATGGTTTTTTTTCCCAAACACCTGGGAAAAGAAAAATACAGAAAAATACAGAAAAATAGTATTTTATGGTAGATTTGCAGTATTGTTAACATGTAGAACTAGGGATGACATTAAAGTTCATATTTAAAATAGCTTAAATAAAGAAGGGGAAAAGAACAGTTTCACTTACGTTTCTCTTGCAATTATTTTCTTGCCAATAGCAGCCTGGATGGCTATTTCAAACAACTGTCTTGGTATGGCATCTTTTAAACGCTCACACAGGAATTTACCAGTAACATATGCTTTATCACTGGAAAAGAAAGTTTTGAGAAGTTAATTCTTTCAGAAACAGTCATACAATACCAAAACGTACCCAAATGTCTGAGAAAAATATTTTATTAGAAGTATTTATCTTTTTATATTCTTAAACTTACCAGATGATAACTTTACAACGCAGACTTCAATGACTGGTTCTGTACATTACTCATTTCATGCAAACAAGTAATAAGACTGTACTAACAGGAAGTTTTCTTAAAAATTCTAATGATGTTTGTAACAAGTATTCTGATAATCTATCACACTGATGCTTTACTGATTTCACCGCTTCAAATGTTATTTCCTTTTAAAACTAGAAGCTCAAGGGGGCATTTTATTGATTCCAGACATGAAAGGTCAAAGATCTACATATCACAAGAAGCATTCTGAAAATATCTTTTTATATAACAATGAAATTCTTTTTTAATCTACTCTAGCAGTCTGTAATAAAAAAAGTTATCCAATTACATTCAGCATCTGCACATACTGCAGATTTTGGAGAAAAAAAGTGAGAAAAGGTCAAAAGAACCTATAAAATTGATACTTACATAAACCACTGAGAACAAGTGACTCTTTTCCCTAAAATGTTCTCACTTAACATTAAAGCAATCATTCTACAAGGTTGGCCACTCCATTTTGCATCTTTCCAACTTGCTAAACGCTATATTTATTACATTGCTAAACTGTATACTTATTAAAATCATATAAATCAAATATATAGTAGAGATTTATTCTGCTCTTACTTTTCTCAACAAGGTAAAAGAGGTAAAAGTTTCATTTTCCTACTTCAATCTTTAATTCTGAAATTCTGAAATTTAGTTAAAGTATACATTAGATAATATACTAATTTATTTATTTGTGCAATTACAAGCTAGTGTTTGAATAAGGACAAAAAAACCCAAAAAGTTAGTATCAGGATTACTAAAGAGAGATTGTGAAGTTATTTAATGGAGACTAACACAGACTTCATAAGAAAAAAGCAAGGGAAGAGACTGGAAAATAGAAAGGCATTATTTCTACCAGCAGATGAGTAATTCCTGAGAAACTCATGGAAACGGAGTCATTTTAGCAAATAGTTTCTGAGACTATTACAATCAGTAAATATTTACATTTTCCTGGTACTCTAGCTAAAGACAAGATAACAGAAAGCTTGTACAGAATAGGGATTAATGGAGGCATAAATATAAAACTTATCCATTTTTAGTAGTATACACCATAAACAATTCATAGCACATCTCCTGGACTGGTTAGTCCTTAATTTTTTTTCCAACACCTTAAAAGAACGTCAGTTAGCATTTATATTTGCATCTCCTCCTTTCACATTAACACGGGAACATTATATTTAGCACTTAGTTTTCCTCTATAATATGCCTTTCTATTTCAGATCTTCTCTGGAAGTTGGTCATTTGGTGAAATCTTCAATGCTATTTCCACATGCATTTATCATTTATATTTATTCACAATGAAAACATGCTTAAGTTTTTATCCTTTGTAATAGAGAACACCTACTTGTGTATGATAGTTGTCAGTTCTTCAATTGGATTTCCATTTATAAGAATATCCATTTTGATAAGATCTGCTGCCTGGTAGCCTGCATCTTCATAATCAAAACTAAACAAAGCAATTTAGAAGTTAGTGATTACGGTATTCTGCATTCCTTGTTCCATAAATCTAAAGTTTTGTAAACACTTAATAGAACACCTGAACTTCATATTAAAATAGGAGCACAGTTTGTAAAGTCTTTCAGCATGACACCATTATTCAAAACTGGGCTCAACAGTTATGTAAATTTTGTCTCCAAGTAAGCAGGACACATCATCTGCTGCTGAGCAAGGAAAATCAGATATCCACATATTTACTGCAATCTCTTAAAAAGTTTATTCAAATACTTGTAAATGCCACTTGAAAATTCCTTAAAGTTCCCTTTAACAAAGGGATGAGCATCCTGTCAAAGATGTCAAAGGAAGAAAGGAAGAAACACTAATACTGCAGCACTATCATAAAGGAATATTCTTTTCTTGTGCCTTTCCATACTTTCTTCTCAGATATTTTTTCATTTCTTCCCCTCATGGGAAGGGGGACTAATAAGAAAGAAAGAGAGGATGTATTTACCTTGCATAGCCAGAAGACAGAGACTTAAGGGCATCATAAAAATCCACCACGATTTCATTCAATGGAAAAAGGTATTTTAGCATAACCCTATGTTCATCAATATACAACATTTCTTTCTGGACTGCCCTACGATTCTAGACAAATAAAAATTGTTTCAGTTTCCCTTGAAAAATATTTTCTATAAATAACACATAAAGCAGATTAAAAAAAAAAAACAAAAAAACAAACAAACAGATCTTACAGTCTTGCTGCAGTTCCTTTCTTTCAAGAAAAGAAATCTAGTTATGAATTCTTCTAGTACACAGTGCTAAAGCAGGTACTTTACTGTCACCAAGCCGGAACACTAACTTTCAGTATAAGGACTGTGTAGCTCAGGAGTAATTTTGTATTTATTTTAAACAGACAATTTAAAATATTTATTTTCCTTTAAAAATATTAAGAGTTATTGTCAACCATCATCTAGTATACTATTATCTAGTATCTTTCGAGGTATGATAAGTAGAGTTAAAAATGCAAGTGACAAAAACTAAAACAGCGTACCACAGTATACCAACCTGACACAAAACAATTATTTTCCCAATATATTCCTGAGGTGTTACAATAGTGCCAAGAACAGTTGGCTCCAGATATTCAGACACTGAATGTTTATCAGGAAATTGAGCAGGGTTGATAATAGTAATCTCTGAATTACCATACTCCTGAAAAAAAAAAAAAAACCAACATTTTTCCTCTAGTTGCTTTTTAAGCATTTTATCCAATGAATTTCCATCTGTCTCCTGTCTGTTGGGCAAGGATATTCCCTATTACTTTATCCTGATAAGGCTTCTCCATCTCCTTACATACATCCTTATCCTTATATAAGGCACAGCTTCAACACAAAATCTGTCCCAATTATTCTGTAGCTTGATGATGTTGAGGGCATTTTTCTGTAAGCAGAACTTCAGGTTCAATCTCCTTTACAAGCCAAAATGGATTCTGAAGTTTTTGATTCCTTTGCAAGTGTTTCCATTACCTAGCTTTTCTAGTCTAACATTCCTTTAGGGGCAGGAGTTATCCTTCTGGAGAAAAGATGCAAGGAAAGTCATGTTTCTTACTGTATGCATACAATACCTCTGCATATCAAAGCAAGAGATTATTTCACTTCTACTACCAAGGCAGTGTTTCTGAGCAAGGACCCATCATTGTACACTGTTTGAAAACCTGAAAACTTGGTTCTGGTGTCTCAGATCAGCAATCTAGAATCATATATGCCACAAAGGTGCCTTTTTTCATAGCAGGCACGCTGCCTAAGGAAGAAACCGAAATAACTGTAAAGAAAAAAAAAAAGGTCTGCATCTCGCATGTAATGCAACTTCTCTTGCACAAATTTGGAACGTCCAAGTTTTCTACAGTGTTTAGAAGTACATGTTAAGTAATGAGTCCACCTATTTGCAGCCTCCTCTGTCCAGCTTTCTCTCAAAACACAGGAATTTTAACTGCAATCAGATCAATAAGCTTTGCACATGACTGTTTCACCAACAGTTTTGTTCAAAACCAGTTTGTTTTTATCAAAAACTGACATATCTTCACCAATCCCCATCAGTCTACAAGCTGTATTACAAGCTAGTATTACAAGCTATTCCTAAAAGAAGTAATATTTTCTGACTGATAAAGTTTGGAAGATACCATGGTTTAAGTTCAGCAGGCAGTTAAGTACCACACAGCTCTTTGCTGAGGAATGGGGGAGAGAATCAGGAAAAAAAAGAAAAAAAACACTAAGAAATCAGGACTCATGGGTTGAGATAAAAGCTATTTACTAAGATAGAAAAGGAAGAGGTATTTTACATAGTGTCCTTTATTCCCATTATCAAGGACAGGGGCAAGATATTAAAAAAAATCCAAAACAAAAACAAGTGCTTAAAGTGGAAAGGGGAAAGAAAGTCAGTATTCTTAGCAAAAAAAAAAAAACCAAAAAACCACACACTGAAACAATCCACAAATGAAATAAGTTTTAAGTTGCATATCAGTGACTCTAACGTTTACCATAAAATACTGTACCATTTTACATTTCAGATGTGTAGATGTTTTTAAAGGAGGCTTTTATGTTGCTGTTTACATACCTTTATCAATTTTGCTGAGGAAAGAACAGCTCTATATGGAACAGTAGGTGCAGTCAAAATAACAGATGTGTTATATTCTTGCTCCAAACGTTGATTAAAAACTTCCATATGCAAAAGACCAAGAAAACCCAACCTGGGAAAAAAAAAAATCCTATTGGTCAAATATTTGTTGGTCACTCCAGTATGTTTACACTGCTAGTCTGGCATTATTAGACACAGCAAAGAACTTCTAAAAGCCAAAAAATATCAATCACAACAAATTGCATGATCTGTGTGAATGTAGAACAAAAGAAAGGAAAATACTTTTCATCTTTACCTATCATTAAATTGAATTAAGCTCCTAATCTTGAAATAATTTCAATTAAAATTTTCGACTGACATATGAAAACAGTATAAAAGCCTCACCTCCACCCAGCTCCTAAAGCAAGGCTACTGTCACGATGAACAGTGACACTGGAATCGTTCAATGTCAGCCTTTCCAAAGCACTTTTAAGATTATTATATTCTGTTTGATCTACAGGATACATTCCTGTCAAAACATATGACAGAGAGATTCTGTGATAGAGCTTACTCTACTACATACTTATCTTTATAATACAAGCAGTAATAAACAGTAACAATAATAAAAAACAGAAGTAGCTTGCTTTCTATTGTCAATTTGACTCTTTCAATCTGATTTTTTTTTTCTAAAACCTTATTAAGGTAACATTCAATTAAAAAAAAAAACAAAACAGAAAAACAGAAATTAACATTCAAACCATAACTGTAGGCATACTGTACTCATCTACTTTTTCATAGCTATGGAAGATGAGTATACTAGCGAGTATAGTCATTTTTTTGCAGGTGTAGAGTGTAGCCATACAACTTAAGCATTAATAAATAAGCAAACATCACTGAAATGCTCCTTCAGCAGGTAAGAGTACACAGGAGGAAAAAAAAATGTGCCATATCAACATTGCTAATATTTCCGTATTTTTTTAAATTAATAGAAGAAATGAATAAAACAGTTGTCAGTGTAATTGTTACTTGAAGTAGGTTCCACTTTTCACATCACTGTGCTCCAATAACATACAGGAAGCAGCACACATGCACGCACCAAAAAAAAATCCACATTGTTTACAGGATTACACTTTCTCCTTCTACATTCACTGGCAGCATAATATCCATGACGAAGATCAAGAAAGTTCTCTCAAAACAAATCAGGAAACTGAATAACAGAATTTCTTTCTTTCTAAAGCTGTCTTTCATAGCATGCGTAGTAGTTTACTAAAGGTGGCAGCAACAGTCTAACAATACTAATCATTAATAAGAACTTCATTTTTGAAAGTATTAATCCTTCTTTTCCAGATACAAAGAAGGAAAAGCACTGGAAGAATATTAATAGCTAGAAACATACCTTAGTCTTGTAAGTCATCTAAAACCAGCCTGTAACAATCTTGCCTGCTAAGTCATAAAGAGCTATATAAATGGCATGTGCCTCTAGCTTAATTTCAGTGAAATTCTAATCCTCACAACTCTTAAATACATCTTAGAAGCTCTATTAGTTCTCCTGCTCTTGCTACTGAAAAAAAATGACTCCTTTTTAGTTAGTTTTCTCCTCACCTGCAAAAACCATTGGCTTCGCTGACTTAAAGCCAGGCAAAGGCTCCACCGGCTGTTTATACATAAACAGCGTGTCTCCTATTTGGGCTTCTGTTACTTCTTTCATTCCAGCAATCAGGTAGCCCACCTGTCCAGCATATCTGAATAGAATTGGTATTATACAGACACTTCTTGGGATTATGAATATTTCCACTGTTTTTCCCCACTTCACTTAGACCAGATGGAAATTCAAACAAATTACCCCTGATGAGCCCATAAACAATCCAAAAAAGCCATATTTAAGCTGTTTCTTCACGGAGTTGCAAATTTTGTCTCAAGGGACGAACTATCTGTTGACTCACGTAACTGTAGTTTTGTTACAGTTAAAAATCCACAGCTGACTGTGCTGTTTAATACCATGCTACTCTCAGTTTGAAAGCTGGAGCTAGAAAGAACTTGAGGATCTACGACAGAACAATTCTCAGCTACCACCACAGCAACTTTCACATGTTAAATAGGAGCAACAACAAAGACAAATACCCTCTATCATATATTATGCTGTTAGGACGAACCTGTAGTAGATGGAAACAGTATACTAGTTTTGGCTGGGATGGAGTTAAAGTGATTAACAGCAGCCTCATATAAAAACCATGTTTTGGATTTGTAACAAAAACAGTGTTAATACCACACCAGTTTTTAGGCTGAATAGTGCTTGCACAGCATGAAGGCTTTCTCCATTTCTCACTCTGCCCCTCCCAGCAAAGAGGCTACAGGCTGGCAGCTATCACAGGCATGTCAGCAGACCCAAACTGACCAAATGCATATTTCATACTATATAATATCACTCTCGGAAATAAAAAGTGTGTTGTCTCTTCAAGGTAGTTGCTATTCATAGACTGCCTGGATACCAGACGGCTAGCGCATGTTGGGGGATGAGTGACTTTGCATCAATTTTTTTTTCCTTTTTTTTTTCTTCACTTGTTAAACAGTCTTTATCTTGACCCATGAGTTTTTCCTTACTTCCGTTTTTCAGTTTTCCCCCACACTCCACTGATGCTAGAGGAGTAAGCTAGTGGCTGCTTGAGTATTTACTTACGGGCTGGATTCAACCCACCACACACACAATAATGTAGTCTCTCATTTAAGAGCTTCCCAAAAACGTCATTAAAAAGTACTTGGATGCAAATTGATAATGCCTCTTCCCTAATTCTGGTGTACCTAATTTTCTTCCACTGCTGCCACGACGAGATAGTTTCTGGAAGCTGTTGCATTCATGGACTTAAAAGTTTTCCACCCTCAAAATATGCTGCAGCAATAACTAAGATGAAACCCCATTCCCTTCCACTCTCAAACAAGGTAGTTCCTAGAAATAGATTGGACAGCTGAATATCAGAAGCTAGTCTTAAGAACTAGCTGTCCAGATATTTCATAGACTAAGTATACATCAATAAAATGACTCCCTCCCACCAGCTGTGCCCAAAAAACAGTCTCCTAAAGCTTCTGTCTGAGGGTGACATTGAGCACTTAATTACAAATAATCATTACAATCCATAACAACAATCCAAAAAATAAAACAGCCTCTACTACTCAATCAAAAAAATAAATAAATAAATAAAATGAACAAATCATAAATTGATGTAAGATATCAAATCTGTTTCTGTTCAATTGAAAGAAACGTTTTACTTACAGTTTGTGTGTTGGCTGTTCATTTGGAGTCAGAATTCCTACTTCGTTAACTTCATATCTTTTATTTGTATGTGCAGACACAATTTTATGCCCTTTCTGAATCTCCCCACCAAAAATTGCAATGTTAGCTATGACACCTCGGTAGTGGTCAAAGGTGGAGTCGAATACTAAGGCTTTCAAGGGATCAGTAGTATTAAATTGAGGTCTATCACAAAAGATTTAAAACAATTATTAAAACAATAAGCAGACTGTTTTCCATTCAATATTGAATGAACGAGCACCCCCACCCTTCGTGTCTAAGTAGAAGCTATATGCTTATAAAAATATCACTCTAGTAGCTCACCTCTCTTTTTCCATTTCAGACTGAATTCATTTTTCTTCTCCGCTTCTTAAGAACAAACAATTCTTCTCTACTGATATTCATTATTGTTTTAAGAATTTCAGCAGATACACATAGATTTATTTTAAAGATCTGAAACCCGAAGGGTCATTTTCTCTGATTTGCTATTCAAAGCTAATTTTTTCAGCTCAGAAACTAGATTTACCCCACATCTTATAAACTATCGACTTACAATCAGATACATATTAAGTGCAAAACTACTGCCAAGATACTGTATAAATGCAACTTATGGTTTCCTGGATATCCTTATAAGACATGATAAGTAAAATAAATAACTTACGGTGGAATCTTTTCAATGACCTTTTCAAGAACTTTTTCAATATTTGTCCCTTGTTTAGCAGAAATCTAAAACAAGCCCAACAACAATTTTATAAGACATGTGTCTTAGACTCATTCAGGATCTATTAAAGTGTCACCTTCTCTTGTAAATAATTTTATATGGATAATGTTCTCTCCTGACACCAAATACTCACTTTACTACTATGAAATACTCATTTGATTATAAATACTCCTGTTACATGATTTCTCCTCCTCAATGGGAATTATTGTTACAGTAAAAATGAAAATAATTTAGAGGATCCACAAGTAGAAAAAAAATTTTATGATGCCATTCATCATCACACATTACAATTTTTAACTGAGAATTATTTTATCCATTCTGTTTTTTCAAGAGGCAAGATCTAAAGAAATTCATGTAGTACATCATACAAAAACAGACAGACAACACCCTGCTGATTTATTATGTAGCTAATGAAAGATTAGTATACAAAGTAGATACAGGTATAGAATCAGACACATTATAAATCTTGAAGAGATCTTACCCTTATACATTCATTAACAGGGATGTCAAACAGCTTCTCAATTTGTTTTTCAACTCTTTCAGGGTCTGCATTCTTTAAGTCAATCTGAAAAACAACAAAGTGCTAAATGTACAGGCAGTGACATTTTACATATGATCAAGAATTGTAGCTCTCAAATGTGCAAGTGAAGGATTCCTTACGTCTTTATTCAAATACGAAAGATTTTCAGGAAAAGATACATATCAAGAATTTTTCAATACTATGTCTTGGTGCAAATAATTTCTAGAAAATTGGACACGAAAGGGTATTTGCAAGTCTAAAATAAGTTCAGCTATTAAGTGGAAACAAATTGATAAATTAAATTACAGGCTATTAATAAAAAATTCCAATCAATCACTTTAGAAGAAGTCTTACAGGATTACAGGAAGGATCCCTACTATAATTATTTTTTATTAAGAACTTTTATCCAAGAGCTGGTAAAATCTTTATTTTACAAAACATTTTGAAAGCACAAATGCTACTTATGCTGTTTATGGCAGAAAACTAAGTACAATATATTAACTACATTTAAACTAAGTAATTTTGTTATTCCAGTTACACAGATTACACAAATTGTAAAAAACAATATATTTGAATTTTTTTTGTAATTAAGTTTACACTTTTTATATTGAGCTGCTACTCCTGTGTATTATCATTAACACACGGAAGCATACAACAATCATCCTTGCAAGAACTTTGTAAGTTACTTTTGTAAAAACCCACTTGAATATTCTCCAGAATAAAAACTAAAAAGGAACAAGACAAATGGTTCAGATATCAAGACATTATACACAGTGCTTCTTAACTCAATTCACCAGAGTCCATAAATATTTTTTCATTGTTACTTACAAAAATGCTACTACGTGTATTTTATGAAAAGTAGGAATTCCCAGCAATCATTAAAATATTAAAAGACAACACGTTGTTGTTATATACTTGTTAATTTTTCATTCTATGCTCCTATTTGAAGATTACTGAGAAAGTTATCTTATATATATATATATATATATATATATATATATATATGTATACAACTGTTTAATTTGAAACACTACAATTTCATTACCTTGTTTACAACAGGAATTATTGCAAGTTGTGCTTCAAAAGCAAGATAGAAGTTTGCCACTGTCTGAGCCTGAATACCCTACAAAACACACATCAAAGAAATCAACATGGAATCTCTTGTTTCTTTCTAGGCATATTACACATGCCATAGAGAAAGTTACCACCTAAGTACTCTGTGAGAATGTATCCTTATTTCAAATCATGATTCTATAATCCTCATATTCCACTGCAGTTACTGACTCGTTAAAATGTTTTAGCATCATAAAAATAAAAGTACAACAGATCTTTGATTTCAAAACCCTCTTAGCACACAATAAGTTCATGAAATTTGCATGGGTACCGTTTAATAAACATTTTACTCCTGAAATATCAGTCAAGAAATTATTCATCTATTGATTTTAAAACTTGTGATGTTTTCTGAATTTATGAATTTGTTCACACTTGGCTTGGAGTTTTACTAATTTTTATTTTGTCCAATAGCTTTTGTGTTGCCATATATGTATTCCAGGCAACTAGCTACCCAAGTGTGTCTGAATGAATCATCACACTCCAACAAGAAAATGAAAGTGATCAAAAGCATACAGTGAAACAGCTGTAAGCTCTCCAGATTGCCACTTGTAAAGTTCATACAACATAGGAAGCATCATCTGATTCTTCATTACTTCAGTGCTTCTGTTCCTATGGTATGGCACCACAGTATCTATTAAAAGGCAAGTATTTGCCTGTGGCTTTTTTTTTTAAACTCCCACTAGTCTTCTGGAGTGTTAATACTTTTATGGAGCTAGACTACTGCAAAAATACTAATGGAGAGGTTAAAACATACTGAACTCCTGTCTAGCTTGCTTAAAGAAATTGCTGAAATTCCAAGGAGAAAACAGAAATTAAGAACTGCACCTCATTTGCATCTACTACAAGTAGGACACCTTGGCAGGCAGAGAGTGACCGTGAAACTTCATAGTTGAAATCTACGTGGCCCTGTGGAGAAAATTAATATTCATAATTTCACATATTTCCAAAGTCCTTTGCAAAGATACGTACATTATGACGGTTTTGTTTGTGTATCTGTTCATCCAAAACATAATTCTTACCAAAATAAATAAAATAAAAGGAAAGAACACATTGAATAAACACAAGAAGTCAGAAATCTGCTAAGTCCTATTTATAAATATAAAGACATGTAGCTCTGTGTAAACCAAACACCCCCCCTTGTACTTAACTTACCGGTGTGTCAATAAGATTTAAGAGGTAGTTTACTCCTTTGTAATTGTAAAAGAGCGATGCAGACTGTGCTTTAACTGTAATTCCCCTTTCACGTTCCACTTGCAGTTTATCCAGCACTTGTTTGTTACGGTCAGTTTTAGCAATTGTTCCTAAGATCAAAAAACAGTTTTATTATCTCATTTAGAATATTAGCTCTCCAAATAAGCAATTGCTGAAAATACTAGTAACAAGCAGAAAATGCAACCTGCAGTAGCAAATCTAGTTCTTCCACTTGATTAAGGTAAATTTTCATTTGAAAATAAATTTATGCCTCAACTCTTTAACATTTGTTAAATGGGCTTTTATCTATGAAGTTACAGAAAACACTTTCCTGAATAAGTATAATACAAAATACTATGCAAGTCTAATTAATGGTCAAGAAGTTCCTAAATCTGACATTTAAAGAAACTTCAACCGTTATCAATGGAGAACAGCTCCAGGGTTCCAACCAACACCAATCTCAAGGGCAAAAGGAGCATTATCATGGAGTTTAACAGACCTGAATTCAAAATTCCGTTCTATCACAGGCATTGGGTAAAACTGCCCATAGTGAAACACAGAAGGTAATAACAAAGAATAACTTTGATCAAAAGCTTCTCACCAGGTTTTGTTTTGCTTACTCCTTTAAAGAGAAAAACAAAACTCTTCCAAAGGGAATTTCTAAGTAGTTAAGTTAAGCTCTGCTCTGAAATTGGCCTCCACTTGGAAGATGCAGAAGTTGCTTTACAACATGCCACAGAGAGGTCACTAAGGTACTCTATGTCTCCCTCTTCCAATTTGAAATTGAAGCCTAATTTCCCCAATCAGCTGTAGTTTTGAAGATTCCTTAGCATTTCTGCATCACTTTTACTTTAAAGGTGATAGTTTTCCTTATTCTCAGCAACACAAAAATGAAAACATTGAAGACAAAGATCTAGAGGATGACAAATACCTCTGCAGAAGAAAATAACACAACTTCACTAACATTTTAGGATAAAAGAAAGAGCAAGACCACGGAGCAACTGAGAATCCATAAAACTCACAGTAGCAGTTATTTTACCTACTAAATCAAGATAGAGTTGAAGATTTCTAAAATTTACTGTGCAGCACTATATCAGCTTCAGTAATAGCAAGCTTCACCACCAAGAAAGGTAGTTCTATATAGTTTGCTCAGAAGAGGAGGATAAACTGTTACCTCCTTATAAGTAAAAATAGTTGAAGTTCTTTCATTTCAATCACACTTTTGGAAAGTATTCTGTCCAGAATTTCTAGGTAATGACAGTCCCTTTCTGTTCATACCAGAAATTGTCAGTAAGCCTCAAACATGCTCTCTTTGGTCTGTTTCCAAAATACACTCCTTTATTGAGGGGATTACACAGTTTCTTAACTCTACTTACTGACAGATTTCAACATGAATAAGAAAACATATTAACATCTGTAACACTCACAACTGGAAGCCTAGAAGCAACCTGACAGCAAAAAAGCAAAGAGATTAGAAAGTTGAGTAAAAAAGCTACTGAAATCTACACATCAATAGAAGGTAGCAGAGATGAAAAGAGAACACTTACCTGTAATTTCCAGCAATCTGTCTGCTAGTGTGCTTTTGCCATGATCTACATGAGCTATAATACTGAAGTTTCTTATGCTTTCAACAGGATATGCTGACATATCTATTTTTTCCTGAAAAACAGAAAGTTTCTTTTCACAAACCACAAATACAGTCTCTGTGTACAATCTGAATAAGCCTTTTAAAGAGAAATTATTCTTTTTACTAGAAGAGGCAGTTAGAAGACCCTAAATGGTTGCCAGCATTCAAAATGCTAGTATTTTCTTTTAGTCGTGGATACTCGTATACTTATTACGACCCAAAATCAGTATGAAGCAAAGCACTGTGAAAGTTACTACGTTTAAATACAGGGAGTTGAAAAACTTAGAACAGTTTAGGTCTGTTAAACTACTTAAGCCAACTTGATCTGGGGGACTATAAGGCTAAAGACATCATTCCTCCCAAGCAAGAACTCTGTGGCATTACCTGACATTCAGGCAGCAGTGCCAATTACATAATAAGGAGCACTCAGACTTCACAGAAAAGGAAGCAGTTTTGGCTAAATTAAAAAAAAAAAAAAAAAAAGTAGAAAACACCTGATTTCCTAAGATCACACAAAGAAAGGTCCAGCACTGACTTCTCTTTCTGTTAGTGTTACTCAAATAAAAAGTTTTGAAGAAAGGTGGCTTTGCCAGGAACCACGAGATTCCCAGTAACAATAACACCCTGCTGAAAAATCGTGACTCCTAATCTTAGATACACACAGCTCCTCTCTCCCACCGTGTTATGCTTGCAGCTTCGGGCCTGGCAGAGAAAAGAGAAAGCCCCAAAATCCTTACAAGCATCGAAGCACTGATTAAACCAACTGATTAATCCCTGACAACGCCTCGACTTGGAAGAGCAAGTTCTCCCACTACCAAAGGAACGCAAATGTTCCTGCATGAGAAAACCACTGCTCGTGAACATCTGTCTGCAAGGCCTTCCTCCTACACACATGGCCACCGAAGTTGAGGGCTGCAGCAAGCACTTCCCAAGCTGGCTAAACGCCTCTGCGGTCTGCATGATTCAGAATTAGGGACTCACCTTGTCGCGGGAGCTGTAGAACCGCTGGCAGGCCTCAAGCTCCGTGGGCAGCCGGACCGGAGGGCCCCAAGGGCCGGACAAAGGGCAGGGCCGGCGCAGCCGGACCCACCACGAGACCGTCCTGCCGGTGAGAGCCATAGCGCCGGGGCTGGATTCACCCCCTCAGAGCCCCATCGCAGCCCGCCGCCGCTCCCCTCGCCGTTCTTTCCGCGTTCTCTTTCACGCTGCCCGCCCGCAGGCACCGAACCCCCCAGTGACCCCGGCACGCCCCCTCGCTCATTCCACGCGCCGGAAGCGCCTCCAGGCGACGCCGGAAGCGGTCAGAACAGCTCCCCAACAGCGCCCCCTGCTTCTCCTCCCTCCTGCCAGCACCTCACTCGCGGGTGCAGTGCAACGTTCGGCCGTGAGGTGGCGATAGCGGCCGGTGGCTGGCGGGCTGCCTCGTACCTCTGCCGCGGTGCGTTGGGTGCTCCCCGCGGTCCTGCTGCAGAGGGGTTTGAGTGCTCGCTGAAATCTCAGAGCAAGTCTCCGCAGTATTTTTCCCTTGGCTGTTTAAAAACAAAACAGAAAAAAAATTGCGCAGTAGTTTGTTCAATTTGCAGCTCCGTATAGATCCATAGAATATCCCGAGTTAGAAGGGACCACAAGGATCACCGACTCCAGCTCCCACCCACCCAAAATTCAAACCATTGTCCAAACGCTTCTTTGTGGACTCCGACAGCTCGGGGCTGTGACCACTGCCCTGGGGAGACTGTTCCATGCCAGAGTACCCTCTGGTGGAGAAACTTTTCCTGATATCCAACCTGTTTTTCTTCAGTGAATCTTCAGTCCTTCTAGATTTGAGATTTTACCACTGATTGTTTCAGCTATTCCCCGAATTTAATACCGTTCACAAATTTGCTGAGAGCACGTTGTTTCTCTTTATCTTGAACAATATGGACTAGTGGTTTTCTCCACTTTCTATTGCCCACCAGCTGCATATGTCAGCACAGCTAAATTTCAAACTAATAGTCAGTCTTTGCAGTTTTTATATTTCTTCAGTTTTCAAATGAGATTGCTCTGGAGGATGGTGTTAATAGCCTTGATAAAAATAAGGCATATTACTCGCTCAGCTCACAGCCTCATCCACATAGCCAGTCATTTCATTATGGAAAGCAAACAGATTAGACAAATACGATTTGCTGGTGCTAAATTTGTGCTGACTGTTCTGGTTTACTACAGTGTTCTTAGGAGTGTGGGGGCAGTTTCCAAGAGGACTTGTGATTTTATCAATTACACTCATCACATACATAATACACAGTATAATTATCTGATAGCAGAATATCACCAAGAGAGACCCACTGATTGAAAGACTTATTCTGATTACCATCTAGTATTCTTTTTGTATCAGTGGCATTACAACCACTGTATAGTAATACACTGTGTATGATTTTTTTTTCCTTCTTTTGTCTGTCTGTTCCACACATCTGATTCATCCACTCTCTTTTCTCGGAGTTTTGTTTGTTTGTATGTTTGTGGTTGGGTTTTTTTGTTTGTTATTTCATGCTATGAGTTTGGGAACTTTGTTTTCCTTTCCTTGGTACCAGGGGATTACTTGCCAGAGCAGCTTGGTTTCCAATTGCAATGTCTTAGTACTGCTGCAGGGCATAGAACAGTGTTCTTCTGGAATACTTATTTACAGGTATACAGAGGGATCTGTTGTTTTGTATGGTTTCTGCTTTGCCAGCCTACAACTGTTCTGGTCTTCTCAGCTTTTCTTTGTAAAATTCTAGGAATAGACGAACATTTTTCATATACTCAGAGCTGCTTTCCATGCATTGGACTTTAATACATACTTCTTCAGCTAATGCGGTCTATTCCAGACATTTTTATAGTCTATGTTTTTCTGAGCTTAGCTTTTATTATTACCTACATGTTCTGTTGCTTTCATATTTGAAAATTTTGCATAAAGTTTGGGAAGAAATGCTCAGACCTATGGTGACTGGCACCTACACAGTCTAACCAAATTTGAGATGTAGCTACATACAGTATTTCAAAACTGCCAACGGGTCACTTAGCTAAGAAAACTGCAAATATATTTGTCAGATTCGTAATCTAGAGATATGCCAAATAAAGCAAGATGCGGTATACTTTGATGTTAAAACAATTTAAAGATGATTTAATAATAGGAGGATGTAAATATAAAATTCCTTATCGATTCTAAGTTACAATTATTTGGCCTAAAATGGCTGCATAAAATTATCTGTTACTGCAGATGGTACAAAAGTTCTACATATACCAGCTTGGGAGCATGCAGTAGTAAATTTGCAAGCATAGTTCATTATGCTGTGCTGATCACATTGAACTTGGATAGTAACAGGATAAAGAGAGACCTTCAGCAGATTCATGAAAATGTATAGAGAAAGAGAAGCATGTTCTTGAATGGAAAATGAGTGTAACAAGAGCCATGAATCCAAAGTGATCCATAGCATACAAATGAATCTAGCAATCATTTTTTTGGAGGAAAACATAGTTCTTGTAGATTGTTTGATGCACTGCAGACATTGGCTTACTCATGTGTAGTAACAGAGAACCTAAATAAAATACATAGCAATCCCATAATTGCTAAATGTATGCTGTCTTCAACATTGCAAGAGACAAGAATACTAGCAAATCTAAAAAGGCTCTTTATTAGTGGAAATTAAATGGCACTTTACAGACTGTCTTCAAATATCACCACCGTAGAGCAATATAGACAAAGTTAAAAGGAATTAAAAACAAACAAGAAACATTCAGAAGTGGTTGTACTGTCTGTTCAGACTAGCAACACACATTTTTTATTCTGTGTAATGACCTGCACAAAGTTGTGTAGTCACAAAAATATCTGCAGAGGCAGAATTTTATTACAAACCAAATAGAATGACTAAAGATTGCACTTGCACTTCACATCTGCTGCTTAGAGAACCAAAACTGTTCCACCTGCACACCTGGCTGGCTGAAATAGCAGTGATCCAAGGAGGAATGCTGGAGAAGTTGCCAAATGAGCTCATGCACCGTATCTTCGTTCTGGTGCTCACTCTTGTCTTGTTCATGTGGTGTGAACAGCTATGGAGTGAATGCCAGTCCACGCAGAGTGAGATTGATCCTTTATGCTGAGCCATTGGCAACTCCATGTATTTTTTAAATAAATGAAGACAATCAGGAATAGACCTACTTTTCACATATGACTTCTAGTCATGTCAACATAATATATTAAGCAAGTTTAAATTGGTGGTCTTTCATTAGGATAGATCACAGTAAAAAACAAAGAGAAAATCATTTGTATTTACCTTCACTTTTCAGCATGTATAAATATACTCAGAAAAAATTAAGATTTTTCATCAGTGTTCACTGAACTTCATATGCAGTGGAGCATATTTACTAGAACACTTATGGAAAAAACGTACAGTTCAGCAGAAAAATAAATGTTAAAGTGTTTACAGGACAGCAAATTAGTAGCATAAGCATGAACTTTCAAGTGATCCATTTGTGTGTCAAAATGTGATGAATGGACATACACAATTAACATTTCCTGTACTCCGAAAGCCATTAGTTACAATGAAAATAAATTGAATGTACATATCATTAGCTGTATTGACTAACATTGAAGCCACCACACAGAATGATGAATTCCAATATTTACAGACTCATGATGGAAAATGGGGGGGGGGG